TAATACTACAGGCGACACAATGGCGGAGAGGAGGTGACCAATATGTCCACCTCTCGCATCCGCATGCCCGGCCGTCGACCCTATGAACCCTCTTTGCCAAGTGCCTCCGAAGAGCGTAGTGGTAAGGAGGACCTGTACCTGCTGCCTGTCCCCCAAAACAAACATATAAATAAAAGAAATAAATAGAGGCGGTGACAGACCTAAACGGCCAGTGGGGCCTATCTCCCACCCATGGTGCCTTGCCCCTGCCAGCCATGCCCATTGTCAAACCAAAGAAACCAAACAAACTCCACAAAGCCCAGCACGCAAGACCCAAACAAGCCCAACCAGAAGGTCGGAACCCACTATCCGCACAGGTGGCCATCAACCATCCGAGTCATCGAGGAGCTTTGCAGCACTTAGCAGCTTCGCCCAACATCCCCATCAGCCCGGAAATACTTAATGAGACATCACCCAACCTGACGCATGCCTGACCGGTGCTCGCAGGTACCTCTCCACCCCCAATCAGCCCCCCCCAAGCCCCACACACCAGGCGCCACAGAGCCCATCCAGCCCCCTCAATCCCTCAGACAGATCAACCATCCAACAGCCACAGGACAGCTATATCTAACCCCATCAGGCAGCCACTGATCTTGGCCGTGCCAACAGAGCCACAACCCTCGACTCCATACAGTCAAGGGAAACCCACCTGCCAAAGCCGGGAGCTACAAAGGAGGCAGTACCAATATTCGAAGGCACCAGCACCAGCCACAACATCCAACCCAGCCAAACCGAGGTCCAACCAAGCCGGGAAAAAGCTAAGCAGGGCCAGCCAAAGCCAGCCCCACAGGCCCGGCAACAGGTACGGACCGAACAATGGGCAAGAGGCATCTCCAACCGACACAACAAGAAGGGGGAGGGCGAGCGAACAGAAGCAGACAAACAGAAGGTAGGCCCCACTTGCAATGGGTGAAGCCACTGTTAGGAATACCGAGATCCGATACCTAGGAACCACCCTAGGTAGGGTAACCTCTCCTGAAATCGAAATCTCAGTTCTCCAACACCCCCCTCCGGCCCCCTTACGGGGCCCGCGCGTCATCATACATATCAATCTAAGTTGCGTCCTGTGAGTATTATACCACAGAATCGAAGGTGTTAAAATAACACCGTATACGTCGCCATCGTCCATCCAACCGGATCCTGTTCGCAGGATATATAAGAGGGGACCTTCGGCTAGGTCTGGGAAGTATAACGGAGTGAATCCGTCAACTACCCAGAAAGCTACTAGGCTTCAAGAACGAGATATCTTTGGCATGGGCCGCAAGTAACGGGACGTTTTTGTGCAAAGAGATGATGATGAATAGTAAAGGATCTTAATGAAAGACCAACACATTCACATCCACCCTACGATAACCAGAAGAGTCTGGAACTCCTGAGAATACTACCATCGAACCCAATGGAGTTCGAGGAGTGTTACAACTAGGTTCCGGTACATACTGCAACCGAGGTGGTGACTCCCAAACCGGTGACAGTAACCAGAATCCTGTTACCCATGGCAACCAAGGGCTACCGACCAAGGGATTATCTACCAACCCTATGGAAAGGCTTCCTGCAAGTAAGTAGGAAGTCCTCCGGAAAGAATCTATCGGTTGGATGCAACCCGCAGACGAAACTGATCATTTCATCGACAAGGGAGACGATTGGAGCCAACACAGTTCGACTTGAGAATTGGGCCCTTTGTCTAAAAAGACTCTCACCATCGGATAATTACTATTGGAAACAGCATGACTTCCAAATAGTCATATTATAATTATCAAAGAGGGTGTGATGATTTTCAGGGTCTCCAGGTGTTCGCACCATGGAAGAAAACCCAACGTTGCGACTTATATTGGAAAAAGGTACATGGTTGTATGTTAGTTAGATGTAGTCCGCGAACACTCAGACGCCGAATATAAATATTGAAGTGCCTCCCAAGCTTTAGAAATTATCAAGCAACGGAGAAGAGACCTTAACAATATAATATTTTTCTTACGATTTTACTTTACTTTACTTTACCCTACTTTACTTCGCTCTTAGTAGTCATAAACGAAACGAGTGAAGTCCGAGCCTTCCTAGACAATCTCCATTTATAAAAACGAATCTCAATCGGCCTAGACAACTCTGAAGTCTATCGGGTTGTCTCCGCCTAACAGCCACCAACCACAGACCACAACCAAACCACCCAAATGCACAGGCAACGCGAGTGCCTGGCAGCCAATCGTCCCACACCACCCCAGGCAGCAACAATAACCACACCAGAGGGTAAGAGTTTTCAGGGTTACAGCCATCCCCATGAATGCGAGGCGGAGATGCCTGACTGAATTACCGTAAATGCCGCAAGGACAAAAGCTCCATAGGAACGGCGATAAACAACATCGTAGGATTCAGACCGTAGAAATGAAAGCGTAACGAAGAGGGGCTGGGCGGGTACCGTCCTGCCACCTGAGGCATGATGCAGCCGGTGCGATGAGTTGATACTTGGGAAGGTCATCAGTCTAACCTAAGGGCATTTTGTATCGCGAGAACTAAGGACTCCGTTAAAACCCAACAAAAGACATGAGCTGGCTCAAAGAACGACACTGGTGATCCCCCCAAATACAATGTTCAATCCCCCCAATCGAGCGCGAAACCTGCGAGTAGACGATAGACAGGAAACCATAGACATTTTACTGAAAGGAGCTCGTAAGCGACCGTTATGAAGTGCTCGAAGTGCTAGTATCGTGAGATAAGCAACCCAACGAAACGAGATGCGAACAAGTTATCCGCCACACAACACCTAATAGACCTCAACACCAAAGACCCCAGAAACTATTGAGCGAACTCAGATATCTCCCCCAGAATCCAAGGCATCAAGGCCCATCACGATGGTGAAAGAAACGATCGAGGCGAAGCGACGGCAAGGACAAGGAAAAGTACTTGGAGCAAAGCGTGAAGAACCTATCCTCCTCAGCCGCATCGGCCTCCTTATATAGTATTTTTTCCATCCATAGTCATGTGACCCAAAGTAGTCACATGTGCAAAACCAAATCATAACAAACTAGTCATGTAACTAAAGTGGTCACATGCTCAAAACCCATGACCTCGTAGCAAGGTCATGTGCAAAAACTCATAAACCAATCATAACACAATAAACAAGTCATATGACTCAACTGAGTCATATGTGTGAAACCCATGACCTCATAATGAGGTCCTGTGTGAAATATAAATCATATGTACAAGGCTTACCCGCAAGGCACACTCGCAAGCCATACTCGCTAGGCACACGTCCCATGACTCATATTTGAGCCATGTGTGAAAGCATCACAAATCTCACACATAACAAATCATATGACTCGAATAGGTCATATGTGTGAAACAATAACATACCTGTGACTCATAGCCATGTGTCACATGAAAACCTTTTTCATGCTAAGCCACGTTCGTGACACTAAGAGTCTTAATTTAAATAAAAGAAAATCACGCAAGAAGTAAGTACTTTAATGAAGATTCAAGTATTTACATAACTAAAAGATATTTTAGATGGGGATTGCGCACTAAAAATATACCAATTATATTTGGTTGGTGTATGAGAAAAAGAGCTTGGAAACTAAGAGACTGGTCCAGAATCATATAGACTGATGAAACCTCATTCTCTACAGCTGGATTTGGGTAGAGAGAATGGGTGATAAGAGAACCTTCTGAGGAATATGATCAGGATTGCATTGATGAGGTCTGGGAGTCAGGAAGGGAGACAGTTATGGTATGGAGAGCCTTTTGTGGGAATTTGAGGTCAAAGCTAGTGGTAGTACCAGGAAAGGTTAAAGTGGATTCTTATGAGTATACTAAGTATATTCTGAATCCAGTTTTAATTCCTTTCTGGCATGAGTGTTGTGAGAGATTTGGTTGGACTAAGGTTGTTGAAGATGGTGCACCAGGGCATAAAGGGTAGGTTCTACCTTCTTATAATTATTGTGTTTTCTGTTTTTTGATATAGAAATACTTACTTAAGAATATAATCTAACTACTGGTTTAATCACAGATATTCTACAAAGTGTAGAAAAAGGAATGGGGTGGATATATTGCCCTGGCGACCACAGTCACCAGACCTGAACTTAATTGAAAATATTTGGGGAGATATGGAAACTTCCTTGGGGAAAAGGTATGGAAGAGTTGCAAGCAAGGAAGAGCTAATCAGAGCTGTGGAGGAAGCATGGAAAGCTATTCCTGATGGAAGGTTTATGGATCTTTGCAGAAGTATGCCAAAGCGGGTCAGGGAGGTTATTAGAAGAAAAGGGCACCAAACTCATTATTGATTTATGATTTTCTTTTTATTTTACTTTAAGGAAATACTAAGCATTTTTTAATTTTATCTCCTTTACTTATTTTATTTATTGAATGTGGTTGTGGAAAATGGTAGTACTATATGTTGTTGATATTGTTTCTGTATGGGAATTTGTGTTGCACAGGTGTCGCATTACTTTCTTCCCCCCCCTCGTACTGGATGCAGATGGAGGCCATACAAAATGGTAATAATGTTTTTCTATCATCTACTAGCTATACTTTTATCTTTTCTTTAATTGGATTCTCTACTTTTCTTTTTGAATTTTTTGTGGTTGGGTGTCGTAGTAGTTGCCGTTGCCGGGCTGGGGTGCGAAGACTTTCTGAACACGACTCTACCTCGCAAAGCAGCTTTAACACTAGACCTTTTATGTGTCCTGTGTCACTATTCCCAAACGGGCCCCAATTCTTGGCGCGGAGACACGAGTAGACTCATTCAAGGACAGGAGGCTCGGCACCCCCCCCCCCGATATTTTTCTGGGATTTAAATTTAACCCTACCCTACTCTACTGTACAAGTATTGTATCAAACGGTCCCTCCCAGATCACATCGCTTACCGGCAAAGCACGCTTATCGTTTTCGTGAGCAAATCTTGCACTTAGACTTCCGCCACCATCCTTGTTTGTCTCCTTGCAAGGACTTGCTACCACACTGCTGTAGGGTGGGAGAAGCCACCGTTCGAGTGAGTACTCGTACGTGCGCCCATCTCACTCTCAAAAACTGAATCGCCCTCAGTTCTCCCATCGTCTTAGCACATTTTCAACCGGAAGATTCGCCAACATCAAACCTTCCACGAAGATGTCACTGCGCACAATATTCGTTCAACCATCCAAGCTTTGTCTCCTGCCACGGCACACCCCGCTTACCCCTCGATTGATCCCAGGATTGGTAAGAAACCTCACCCCGAAAAGTACCCCGCCTCCAGCTCCCTCAAAACCGGTTGGCCCGAATCAAGATGTCCTGCGGCACGCTAGTGGGGAGGCCGCCGCAACTGTTGATATTATGGGTAGGAAGAGCTTATATCTGGAGCATGGGACACTGATTCAGGTGAGACTCCGGTTCTGGGCCGTTTGGGATTGGCAGTTGCTAACTTGGCATCAGATGTTAAAGAATGACCCTACCGCACCGCAGAATGCGCCCAAGGTTTCGAAAGAGATTCCCCGGACAAAAAGAGAGTATTCCACCGCAGCAACCCCGATCGATCCTTTGTCTTCCAATACGCCTACCGGCATGGCTTCCTCTACTGCTCTCGCACTGCCTCGCGTTACTTCTGACGCCTTTGCTTTGACAATTCCCGGGGCTAAATACCCTCTTCCGCAACTTCCTCTTCCGTCATGTTCTCACCTCAAGCACCGTTATTCTACATTACTTGAGCAGGTCATAAACTTTATTATGATCGGCGGTCGAAAAGCCAAAGCCGAGTCGCTAGTTGATCAGATACTTGCCAATTTACGGACTCGCCCTGCTCCAATATCGAGAGAAGGGACCCCACTTCTTCCTGGAACTCCCGCTTTATCTTCACTGCCACTTGATCCAGTTCAGTACCTTCAGATCGCGATTGACTCTGTATCTCCGTTAGTCAAGATTTTAATGCTTAAGGGTGCAGGAGGAACTAAGCGACCGGTTCCATACCCGCTACGCTTGAGACAGCGGAGACGGTTCGCATTGACATGGATATCTGCGGCTGCGGATAAGAAGAAAGATAGGCTGGGGTTTGCGGAAAGGTTTGCGGATGAGGTTGTCGCTGTTGTCGAAGGTAGAAGCTCAGCATGGGAAAAAAGGAGTCAGGTATGCAACCTCTAGCATGCAATCCCTATCATTGGAGCTTACACAAAAGTAGGTCCATAAACTAGCTGTAGCATCGCGTGCCAATGTCATCATTAATCCTGGAAGAACAGTCGCACCTTCAAAAATAAAGTTCCCCATCGCTGTTCTCTAGCTTCCGGAGAGGTCACTGATATCATGTAGATTATTTTCTTCCTTTTTTTTTCCTTATTTCCTGTATTTGTTTCCTATATCTGGACTCTCTCAGGTACGGTGCAGCGTATCAGGAATTTGTAAACTTATACCTACACAAAAAATGGTGGGGAAAAGGGAATCTCGGGAATCCCTTAACTCGCGGCGATATTTGTTTTAGCGTTGCCATGAGAACGAGATGTGCATTTCCAGTACTCTATGGCTACGATACGAAGCCTTTCGGAAAAGCCATCTTTGTAGTTTCTCTTTCAAAAACACATCACCAACCTTCTGAGATATCGGGTACTAGTATCATGGAAGAGAGGCCGACGGTGGAGTACTTTCGCTGGTGATGAAATACCGATACACCGTGTGAGGGAGCCAATATTACAGTAGCCCTGGTCATAAGGATCCCTTATCATGCAGCTGTTCATTCTACTTCCTTCCAAAGGAACTTCACGGGCGAGTGATTAGGGTGGAATGATTGGAATCCCGGGAAATTACACTGAATATTGGAAAGGACACTAGAAATCTAGCGGAAATACCTAAGGGATTTTCTTTTCTTTTCGAGAAAATAATTTCTAATAGTCCTAGTATCATACTCAGGGTGAGAAATGTATCAGGGTGCGCATATTAGAATTTTGAAAATCTTGACTGCGGAGGGCAGTTGCAACCACATATAAAACTTTGCAAAACACTTGTTAGGCCACTCAGATACTTTTTCTCACTCCACGTATACCTAGTATATATATATATATATATTATAATAATATTTTATTTTATTTAACCAATCATCCTGTTGAACATTAGACATCAGTCCGTAAAATAATGTAGATATATCATACATAAAAGGTTGTTGAGGATCCTGCATGATACGATATTGCGGTAGAAAGGAGATGGAGTCATCTGGGAGCGCACGTGGCTGAAGATAGCAGCACCCGCCACCTCTCGCCGCCACGGGATCACCCTTTCCGTGACCTTCTTTTGTACTTTGGCGTATGTGTTTTTTTGCCCCTAGATTTTGATTTTTTTAGGTTTACACAAGACTGCCTTACACAAAGGTTCCTGTCCCGCTTACTTACACACTCCCGTTCTTGCTGCCGCTTTTTCTCCTGCTTCTTATCATCTTCCTCTCACCTTTTTTTTTCCTTGAAGAAGACCACCACCGACAACACCCCGGCTTCCAATAAAACCTGCGACACCCTCCCCTCTTCCTTCTAAAACCCCACACAAAAAAAATAGAAAATCCTTCAAAAAACCCTTCCTGTTAACCACTCAAAAAAAAAAACTTTTTTGAAACCTCAAGTCGCCCTTTTCTCCCTCCCTATCGCCCCTCGTTCTCTTTCCAATCCTTTTGTTTCACGAGACCCCACCATCACTCCTCACCACACCACATTTCGCTGGGAAAGCGTGACTTGAGGCCCCTGACCCCGTACTTTATTCTTGTCTATACAGGGAAAAGAAAGGAATTACAAACATATTAAATTAGCTTGCGAGTATCTTTGTTGCGGTTAGTTTCTCTGCCCCTCACTGGTCATTGGACATTCGTGGTCTTTTGGCAATCAAATCTCTGATGCTCACCTTCTTTCTCCTGGTCATTAGCAACAGCGAGGGAAACCACCCAAAAAAACAAACAAACACAATTCCTTAACCGATTTTAGGTTATCTACGCATAGTTTTCAAAGCGTTTGTTAACCCCTCGTTGCCCCTCCCATAGTGTTGCTTCTATCTACCATCTTCCCCATCTATTTGATATTGCTATTGCGGCTTTCATCCCTCTTTAAAGAATTTTCTCGCCCCCGGACTGAAAGAGGTGAATCACTGCTAATATCATTCACTATAGTTGCTCTCATAACAATGTCTGCCGAAGTTTCTTCATCCCCAGCTCCCCAGGAGCAAATCGAGCAGCCCATCAACGGGTCTTCTCCCGCCCAGGATCCCACTTCCGATAGCGATGCTAATAACTCATCCGTGGCTGCTCCACACAGCGCCCCCCACAACTCCCACACTTCCGCCTCCCTTTACGTCGGGGAGCTTGAGCCGTCTGTGACTGAGGCAATGCTCTTTGAGTTGTTTTCCACTATTGGAAACGTTGCATCGATTCGTGTTTGCCGTGATGCAGTTACCCGCCGTTCTCTCGGATATTCTTACGTTAACTACAACAATACCGCTGATGGTGAACGTGCCCTTGAGGAGCTTAATTATACTTTGATCAAAGGCCGTCCTTGCCGCATTATGTGGTCGCAGCGTGATCCTGCTCTCCGTAAGACTGGGCAAGGCAATGTTTTCATCAAGAATCTCGATACTGCCATTGACAATAAGGCTCTTCATGATACCTTTGCTGCTTTCGGTAATATCCTTTCCTGTAAGGTTGCCCAGGATGAGTTTAGCAACTCCCGCGGATACGGGTTTGTCCACTACGAGACTGCTGAGGCTGCCAATAATGCAATTAAGCATGTCAATGGTATGCTTCTAAACGAGAAGAAAGTATTTGTCGGGCATCATATCCCTAAGAAGGATCGTCAGAGCAAGTTTGATGAAATGAAGGCCAACTTTACAAACGTTTACGTTAAGAATATCGATCCCGAGGTCACGGATGAGGAATTTAGAACTATGTTTGAGAACTATGGTCCTATCACTTCCGCTAGCCTTTCCAGGGACCAAGATGGCGTTAGTAGAGGATTTGGATTTGTTAATTTCCAAGAGCATCAGCATGCCGCCAAGGCTGTCGAAGAGCTCCATGAGAGTGAGCTTAAGGGTCAGACTCTTTATGTTTCTAGAGCCCAAAAGAAACACGAGAGAGAGGAGGAATTGAGAAAACAATACGAAGCCGCTAGAGTTGAGAAAGCTAGCAAGTACCAGGGTGTCAATTTGTCTGATTCCACTTACCCTACGATTAATTGGTTGAATTTACTCTAACTCTTCTATCATAATAGGTACATCAAGAATCTCGATGACGAGATCGACGACGAGCGTCTCCGCCAGGAGTTTGCCCCGTATGGAACTATCACTTCCGCCAAGGTTATGCGTGATGAGGTCTCTAAGGAAGATAAGGACGCTGAGGAGAAAGAAGGGGACGGCGCCAAGAAGAAGCTTGGTAAGAGTAAGGGATTTGGTTTTGTCTGCTTCTCTAGCCCGGAGGAAGCTAGCAAGGCCGTGACTGAGATGAACCAGAGAATGGTAAATGGCAAACCTCTCTATGTCGCTCTTGCTCAGAGGAAGGATGTTAGGAAGAGCCAAGTAAGTTACCCTTGTGATCAACCCGAGACTACTCTTGACCGAGTATTAATCGAAAAATAGCTTGAAGCAAGTATTCAAGCTAGGAATCAGATTAGGATACAACAGCAAGCTGCGGCCGCCGGTATGCAACCCGCTGGATTTCTTAGTGCTCAGATGTACTATGGACCAGGCCAGCAAGCCGGGTTTATGCCTCAAAGTGGCCGTGGTCTCCCATTTCCTCAACCTAGTATGATGCCTATGACTAGTGGCCCTCAGGGTGGTCCTGGTGGTCCTGGTAGTCGTGGTCCGCAAGCCGGAAACTTTGTTCCTAACGCTGGCCGCCCTGGCCCTCAGGGTCCAATCCCACCAGGTATCCCGCAGCAGATGTATGGCCCTCCAGCAATGGGCCCTGGTGCAGGACCTGGCGGCCCCGGGTTTTCTCCGTATCCACCTAATACTCTCGCCGCCGCCCAGGCGCAAGCTGTTGCAGCTTCTCAAGGCCGTGGACGCGGTAGTGTGCCTCCTGCTGGAATGGCAGGAATACAGCAGGGGATAGCTAATATGAACATGGGCCCTCGTGGTCCTGTTCAACCCGGTCGCGGCGGTCCTCGGGGCAATCTTCCTCCCCAGACACAGCCCGGTCGTCCTCCCGCCCCTCCCCAGATTCCACATGTATCTACCAGTGGAATTGATCCCACCCTATTTGCTGCCTCGCCTCCTCAGGCCCAGAAGCAATTGCTTGGCGAATCTCTCTATCCCAAGATCCAGCGCCAGCACCCTGAGCTTGCTGGAAAGATCACCGGGATGTTGTTGGAGATGGACAATATGGAGCTTCTCGCACTGTAAGCTTGATCGATCAATTATTTTACCTATCTTGTGCAATAACGGCTAACATTTATCAAATAGTCTTGATGACGAGCAAGCTCTAATCGCCAAGGTCGACGAAGCTCTTAGTGTCTATGACGAGTACGTTAAGACTCGAACCGGTGATGATATCGGGGGTCACGAGGGTGCCACAACTAATGATAATGAGAACAAGGGTGATGAGGGCAAAAAAGAGGGTGAAATTAAAGGTTAAGCTTTGGGCGTCTTTGGGATAGAACTTTTTTTTCTTCTCTTTTCAATTTTCTCTTGGGTGGCCGGGGGTCGTTTGGGGGATGGTGACAAAAATATTCTTTTCCTTGTCTCTTTTTCAATGGGTCATTTCAATTCACTGTTCTTACTCTTATGTGTGCAAATTTTTAACCTCCTTTTTCTTTCCCTGGTGAGTGATGTGTCCTTTGGCTTTCCTTTATTTCAACTTTCGGTCTCACAGGGGCATTTCGGGTTGCGAAAAGTCGAGTGCTTTTGTGGCCAGCCGGAATTATTAGGGCATGAGTTACAAACTGGTGGAAATTTTAGGGTGGGCGGGGTTCTGGGATATGGTTGGTTTTTCATTTTTGTTATTGACTTTTTCTTCATTTCTCTTTGGTGATTGAAATTTGACTTTCTTTCCTCATTGCCCCGTTTTATCTTCAATTGGTGTTTCCCCATGCTGAAGTTGAGGGAAGTGGGGTCGTCGGGTGGTTCATATCGATCTGAGGGGTGTGCGCAGAAAGGTATTTCGGACTGTGCGAGGAGGTGGATCCTAAAATGGGGGGGATAAATCACGATTGACAAAAAAAGCGGGAAAAGATGAAATTAATGAAAAAAATAATTAAATCAGAACTTGCTGAATGCACATTTTACTTGGAAAAGGATACGGGTTCATCAAGACACTATAGCTCAGTTGACTTCCGTGGGCTTTTGCAGAGTACCCCAGTACGATGGTCTTGCCAGCTACTTGTAAATGGTTCCGCTTTAAATAGCGACATAGGTGAGTTTTAGAAGGTGAGTTTTAAGGTGTCATACTATCACGGTATGGTACTTAGACTTTCCGAGCACTGCAGAGTACAAGTACGAGTACAGCTGTGTCCGCAAAATTCCCGTACCCACCCCCCAGGTACTACTCAAGTACTAGCCCTTCGAAACCCTTCGCTAGCCCTCTTTTTATTGTTCAGAAGAAGTGTCCCCAGAGCATCCAAAAACAGTCATCTAAAAGGATCTTGTTCTGTTGGTGACAGGTAATGTTCTAGGGGCACAAGGAAGGTTATGAGAACCCGACGGAGGCGGCTGTAACTTAGAAGTGCAGAGGCAGGGGTACAATAGGATGGTTTGTCACCATTTTAGTGTCTATGGAGGAACTCTTGTGTTTGCTCCTGTTATTATTGATGTTCTGAGCCCTAGGCAAAGGGGAGTAACATGCCAGTCGATAGTAATAACACAAATAAATACGGTTAACCTAAGGTTAGTTTGCGACAAGAGAATCGTATGGCATTTGCATAGCTGGGGAAAGAGCAAGCAGGGATAACGCAGGGGAAGCACTTCTAGGCAGCCCATGGTGGGGGAAGTAGGACCTTCGGCAGATTAGAGCTTCGACAGATAAATCTCTCCGCTCTTCGCTCCTCGACCTTCCCTACCCAAACCCTTTTCCACCGTCACAACAGGAAATATCTTTTATCACCGAGAACGAAACATCACACTCTCGAACCTTCGTGCCCCAAGACCGTATGCATTTCTCACCTTCATCACCACTCACACGGGGAGCCTTTTGATCCTTGCCTTACTTGCTTTTAATCCTTCTCTCCTTCTCTCCCCCCCCACTCCTCTTCCCCCTCCTCCTCCTCCCCTCCTCCACCTCCCCCTCCTCCTCCCCTCCTCCACCTCCCCCTCCCCCTCCTCCTCTACCTCCCCCTCCCCCAATACCAACATTTTCTCACCATAACGCGAGCCGAGGATGGAGAAACCAACTTCGAAGAAAACGCCATCTCCAACAGCTCAACCATTTGTCCCCGGCCATCAGGTCACCCGTGCATCGTCCTTTGCTTCGACGCCTATCGTAGCCTCACCAAACGTCGACGCTGCAGCTTCTAAGCCACGCGTGAACCTGCCAGCCTCATTGGTTCCTTGTAGATACTTTGCAGCAGGTTACTGTCAACGAGGGCCCGCTTGTTTCTACAAACATGATTTATCATCGGTAACACTTCCTGGCCTTGAGAGTGCTGATAAGGGGAAGAAGACCCACGAGCCAGAGAATACAGATACCTGTGCAATATGCTACGAGATCCCAGTCACATATGGGCTGCTGACGAGCTGTGATCATGTTTTTTGTCTTTGTAAGTTTGTTTCTTCTGAGTTATTATTTATTACGAAAACATATTTGGGACTGACGGTGTTTTTCCAGCATGCATCCGTGCCTGGAGATCTACGGCTGCGCCAGATGCTGTTCCAGATTCAGAGGGTGGCGCTTTGAGCAAGACTTCGAAGACTTGTCCGCTGTGTCGGGTTCGCAGCAAGTTTATCATTCCTAGTAGCGTTTTCCCGCGACCAGCTGGAGATGCGCCCGATGAGGGGGAGAAGATCAATCCGGCCAAGGATGCAATCATAGCAGCCTATCTTGCGAAGCTTAAGACTATCCCTTGTACGACCTCACCAGCACTGACACTATTGTGTCGGCATACATAGCAAGATGGCAGTCAATACTAACGAGTTATATGTAGGCCGTCATTTTACCAATTCTCTGTTGCCCAGTGCTCCTCCTCGTCCCCGCCGTAATCTTCCCGACTGTCCATTCGGTAACGATTGTCACTACAAACACACATTCCGTGGATCTCCCTACGTCTTTAGTGACTCGGAACTTAGCGCTCAACGTCGTCGCAGAGCTCATAGTCCGCGCCGCCTGGGATGGATGGAACGCCTTCTTTTCGGTGCAGGTTACGATTCAGGCAGTGACCCCCTGCCCTCACCCCCCTGGCCCGTTTCAGAGGCGGAAGCAAGAACTCTAATGGAAATTATTCTCGAAGGCGGCGATCCCCCAGAATGGGACGAATTCGAGGAGGAAGAGGAGGACGATGAGGACGATGAGGACTATTTCTATGAAGATGTTGACGATCCATTTGATCCCAATTGGGAACAGAGCATCCTCGATACTATGGAATTCTCAGCCCCTCCCAGGTTTAACTCCCGGAGTAGATGGGCGCAAGGTACTGGGGCGGGGGATCAGGACGATGTCTTTCTATTTTAAGGCGTTGTTTTCCACCCATCTCTGCGGTCTGTTCTTGCGGAGAGTGTGGGTATTTGGTATATTTTAATGCTTCTAAAATCAGATTCACTAAGTTTAATTTCGAGAGACGCGGTGTGGGCGTGGAGATATGGCATGTAGTGTCACACAAATCGGATGTCTAGTAGTCTGAATTAATCTCCACTTTTTTATTGCTCCTCCCTGAATACGGTGACTAATTTTCTGGTTTCTCGTCGGTGGAAGGCTTCACAGATTGGAAGGGTGGAAGGGCGTGAGCAATTGCTGATTGAAAGGATTTGCAGGGTTGTAGGTTGCCGCCCTTACAGAAATAATTAGGGCTTGGAAGCTACAGTGCCGCATTTCAGTCTATCGTCAAATCACACTCCCTAGTGACCTTGCTTCTTTTTCTTCAGCTTGACGTTTCATTATCTTCACGCCCTTGTCACCTTTTTGAAATTCTTCTTTTGTTTCTGCTCCAAGTGAGCTCTCCAATAACTTCTCGGACCTGGTATATCTTCTAGCCATTTAGCAGGCTGGAGAATTTGAATACGAAACGAACTATGGCAGACTGGCACTAGTCACGTGAGAATACCAACATCAAGTCAACTGTCTGTATGACAGTCCACCCAACCAATTGCCCAATTTGGTCCCGTACATTACTACCCATGCCTTTGAATCGACTTGGCCTGTAGCCGACTCAGATGGGTCACGTTGTGATATTGTCCCATTCCCCCATGGGGGGAGGACCCCCCAGTCCGGAAGTTCTGACTTGTTGTCTACGCCTTGTGGTAGAGTTCAGTTGTAGGTTCCCTAAAGCATAGGCTGGTCGTATTGTGGGTGAGCGTTGGTGGATGCTGGGTAATCCGATGTTGGTGTCGTGCGGAATTATTTCGTAAAATAGTGTTTGAGGGTTGTTGGAGGTGAAATCTCCCGTTCACCTACACAGCTCTGAACTATGAGTGGCATGTGTATAATAGTATCGCCTATAGATGGCTAGTGGGTGGGAACGTAATGACTCGTAGGGAGAAGGGGGGGGGTTGTGGTATGATATCTAAGATCGAGGATTTTTCCATGCAGTGTTGATAGTGCCGAGTTTCCCCGTAGTGCATCATACTGAAATGCAAAATAATAAGAATAATAAAAGTAGCTTCACGGATTTCTAGAAATGTCGATTGAAGGCATTGAGGCACTATGTTGGTATCATATATAAACTATTATTTCTTATTCCAGTGGTATGATACACTGGAAGCTAAAGTTAATTTTCGACGGTAAAGAGAGGATTTCCCAAAAATTTTGATCTTTTGCGCATAATATACGATACAAAGGTTATTAAGTAACAGGACTTATTTTCTGAGCTATCGTACTGTGCACATACTTTACATGTTCAGCTAGGTGGCTTTGCAAAAATAAATGTTTGGAGGTTGTGGTATCCTACGAGTGTCAGGTTTTAACTTGTACAGGCTCATTTAGGTATGGAAAACAGTAGAATCCTTTAGGTCGTGATTGTAAACATAATGCGATATTAACTAATATGCAAAGCAGGGAGACTATGATACTTGGTAGTACTGGGTATGTAGATACCCAAGTCTTTCCTTTATACGCGGGAGGCAGGGTTTCCCACGAGAGAGCAAAGGGTACTTTGGGCGAGCCTTCAATGCAAGAGGCACTCCGGTTAAGGGTTAGGATCTATAGCTAGGTAACTAAGACACGTTTTGGCACTGTACTCTAGAGAAATGTGATTTTTCCGACTCTTATGAAGTATTAAATTTTTACCTCTGCACTTTTTTTGGCCATGTTCTAGCGTGTAAACCTAGTTCAGGCCCGGTTTAAACATGCCATTTCTCTCAAAATCTCAATGCCGGAACTCGAATCCTTTTGACCGGAGGGTATCATACTCTACAAAAAAAAAAAAAAAAAAAATCCATATCCAAATCGCAGCTACTTTATCGGTCATAGTGATGGAAACAAAAATCTGCTAGGAGGCCTGTAAGCCGAGGGCGTTCGCGAGGTATACGGGTTTTTATAACAGATGATATCGCATGATTACCCAGACTGTCGGGTATATGACTTCAACGTGATGATGAGCACATTATAGTTGTGGACACCTGCCCTACTTCTTGGGAAATATCGATGCATATAGCTATACCCCTGGTTTCTATAAGAAGGCAGCTTTGGATGTGCTGACGATAGACTGAGGAGCACAAGCAAGCAATCCCCTTCCTTTCCTCGAAGAAAAAGAAAAAAAGAAAAAAAGAAACACCGTCTCATATATTCTTTATATCAGCTTACTTACGATCTCCGAGACAGACATATCTCGATAGATAGAGTGATGGAGCATGATGGAGAAGATCACGAGGGCCCTGCTCATGATTGCCTGATGGTGTCCATCACTACTTAGGAGATTATTTAGATGGAGTAGCAGATGACAAGAAACAGCAAATGACGAACGAGGCCGCTTCCGTGAGGCCTGATCCCGACACACATGCTGCCAGCTCTGTTAATTTCATATTTTTCGTTCAACCCGTCTCCGCTCAAAACACCAACGAGGTAGAAAACAAGGTTTGCTTAAAAAAGGGGCCACTATGGAGTGGGTTTTGGACCGATAACGACTTATCCTATCTATCTCTACCTTTGCAGACTAGGCTAGGCCGGCCGGGCATCGGCCGGACTGGATAACCCTTTTGTAGGCCGGGTGGGCTTCGTGAAACCCAGGCTGCACCGAGCACTACGTGTTAGGCGTCAATAACAGTACCTTATCCCTTCTTAGCCCCCTCGCGTTGTTGAGATAAATTATCTTTTCCTTTACTCGAGTACCTGTGGAGTGCCAAACCTTATTCTCAAATACGCGCTGCGAATATCTGCCAGACAGGGCTACATTTTACAATCACTAGAGATCACTCGCGAAACGACCTTTTTTCAAAGAAATGACGAAGGCATCGTTGCGCAGGAAGTGGATCGCTACCCCAATCCCGCATCGGTTCCGCGTGCGTAGAGTACCGGTAGGGTTCCTGGCTTATGCGTAACGGGAGATTCCGGGCCTGCAATCTGTTGATGCTCCCGCGCAATTCGTCACATATGATATCTCCCAAATCACCTAATTTATGTATTTGTCTGTTCGGATGTCTCCGAAATCTGGTTCACGGGATTCAGTACGCTTTTGGTAGCAGCAGCCTTGGGTGTCAGACTTGTCCCCTTGCTTGCTGGTGAATCCCACTGTGCACCCCATCGGGTTCGCAATCTTCAGGGATGAGATGATTGGGCAGATTCCATAGATGGGGATGTTTTGCCCCGAGCACGTTTGGGTCCGGGAGGGAACGGCGTTGTGGGGGGGGGGTGGCTAGTTTGGGAAGGTTGTTGTTGCCTTTTTTGGTAGTGACGGGGTTCGGTGCTGTATCCTTGTGCATAGTGAGTTGATATATAAGACCCTTATAAGATGGATGAGAATGAGATTGTGCATTATGTCCTTGGGGCGGGAGATCGTATTATAACACTGTACTCGAGTAGTGGTTCCTGCGCACACCGCTCCGGGACAGTCCTACCGATAGCCAAGGGTCTCGAAGTTGCCCGACTACTTTATTTGTGTTTTCCCGATATCCCTTCGGTATCTAAAGCAATTGAGATAAGAGATATGGGTCTAGGCTTATCCCTCAAAACACACTAGGAGGTGGCGTGGGTGCTCTTTTAATACATTACTCGTATAGGGGGTGTTTAAACGTGTTGTTACTTGAAGGATCCCTCTGGATAGCCTATTTCTACTAGCATAAAGGTTGGGGCACTTGCGGTTCTGCTGCTGAACCTTGACAGACGGCTTAGGTTATAGATGCGGTTCCCCAATTCGTGAAAGAGAGTTATCCCTACACCGCCGAAAACGCCTTGGTCATGGAAATTGCCTCCTTGGATCAATAATTGAAACCTTGGGATCTTAGTATAGGATCATCCCTGTTGGTTGTTTCTCCACCATGTCCGACTCCTCGGGGAAACATCACCCACTTGGAGTTGGCCATGCGGGATAAGTTGGATATTGGTACATACCCGGTACTTGGGAGTGTTTTCTGGGGGCAAGGAGTGTCTCAAAGCCGGGGGTCATGGTCTATAAAACTTTTATCTTGCTTGCACCTCTAATGCATCCTCTTTCTCTGAGGGATCCCGCCAACTCGGAACGGGATCATGGAGGGAAAATTAGGTCGGTACTCGCCATATCACGTGAGCCGTGTAGTACGGTAGGCTCTTGTCCTCCAGTCCGTCACTGCCGTACACAAGTCTCGGTAATTGGGGTTGCGGTTGGCCATGTCATCATAGAATCAACCAACTTACACAAACGCACTCCTGATCCCCACACCCTGATCCCCGAGACCATCCCCCGCCTCCTCGAGTTCGCCGGCAATAAATTTACCTCCTTGCACAAACTTTGCCCTGGGTTTCCATATCCCGTGACCCCCAGTATCCCGATGAGGTAGTACGGTACCGGTATTCTCTTCTGTTACCCTTGGTCTGACCTATCACAGACTGTCTTGGCTCAAAAACACGCACCCATCCCTTTTTAACTTGTGATGCATGGTTACGGCTCCTCTTTCCACAACAATTAAGTCAAAAACCAAGGCTACGAAGTGGTACGGCAGGAAATCTCCCCGAGTTTTCCCGATATCGTACTTTCACTCCGCTACTAGCCAAAAGCACAGCAGGTTACAGTACGAGGCGTCCCCTAACATGCGATAGATCTGTTATCGCGAGCGCGACATCGATCTCGGACGAATCGCGGCGCCCACGGCGAAATATTTTTCGATAAAGGATGTAAGTTTATCTGCGAGCATGATCTGATAACCTTAGAGTTACCGCCGCATCACCAAAGCAGAAGCGGTTTGTGCGAGAAAACATTATTTATCGAGTCACAAAATGATCCACGGGCTTCGAGACAGAAAAATTTGTGCGGTGGTGAAACAAAACGGCACGTGCGGGAGATCGATGTCTTATTAGCTCTAGGGTTTTGATCCTGCTGACCCCAGATAAGGTCACCACTCCCACGACCCAAATTCTCACAAGCTTGCAACATCAAGTCGCCAAACTTCAAGTACTTTCTTGGCGGAAGCAGGGTGTCCACGACCAAACTCTGCGGTTATGCACGCACTAGAAAATTGCGCTACCTGCTACATCGTTTGTGCCATGTGTAGCTGTCCCTGATTTGAGGCAGAACCGACTACCCCCCCCATTGTCGGAGGTGGCAAATATAACATTACTACAGTTACAACTAACTTCGCATCAGTTATCGTCACAATCTCGAAATTCGAAACTCGAAATACTCAACTTGGGTGCTGTGATGACCCCTGATGATGAAGTCCTTGCAAGGACCAGCAGTTACCACGTTCTGTGGCTTGACTGCGTACTCGGTGTCCTCGATTGCAACCGGTCGGAATTGATCAATTCGCTCTGTGGCCCGGGTGGACCAATAAGAATCTAATCACAAACGGTCACTCGGCTTTCGGACTGAGGGGCATCCTGCATGTCAAAAGCCCCAATGGCAGTAAATGACTTGATCATCTGAGCGAACTACAGCAGGGCTCTACCGTTGATCATCCCACCCTTTTTGTGGGTTGGATCGTTCAACTCGGCACAGAAATTCAGTGTACCCTAGTCGCATCAGAACCTTATCCTAGCTGCATTCTAGCCTTCAGCAATAGAAGGAGATAGAAAGTTTACACAAAAGCTATCCTCCGATGAACATCTTCTCAGCCTGTGATAATTCTCCGCTGTTCCATCAGGGGAAGTTTTAGTCTCACATCACAATCGCCAACACCGCGGGTCCACTAAGTTTTGTCCACTTTATCTTGCCCCGGCCACGCCTTACAGCGGTGAACAGAAGAAGCAAAAAAAAACAAAAAAACAAATACCTGGTGCTACATTTGATTGACCAGAGCGAAGGGGAAAGGAGCTATTTCAGTGATTTTGTGCATTCGTTCCCAGGAGTGAATCCGAGACATCACACTAAACAGAACGATCGTGTCCTCCGGTTCTGTGGTCCGTAGAGATATAGGTAGGAGGAAAGATATACCTCCTACATACTTTCTCTGCACTTTTGTTGCGCAGTGAGAACGCACTCAGAGGTGTGTATGAAAAAGCCAATTGACGAGCTCAATTGGAGGGAGACGCAGGCTTTTTTATAACGAGTTGAAAAATGAGGAGCAGATCAAGTCTGGAATAGTCCAGTCTAGCCTAGTCCCATCCACCGTATCATACCCCATATTTCGGAATACCCTACTTTCTGTGCGAGTTACCACAAGTGGGGGAAGCTCATGCTATATTAGGCCACCCCTAACATTTTCCCGCCAGAGGCCTGATGACGGGGAACGATGAGAACGACCCTATAGTGGCTTTTTTTTCATATTCCTTTTTCTTCTCATGGAAGTGGAAAGAGACATCACGCGTCATGTTACATTACCCAGAAGTAACCGGACCCGCGGAGGAGAAAAAATAATACTTGTTTGGAGACTATTTGACGTCCGGTAATTCCATGCTGGGGGCGGCATCGCGGCGTAGGTACATTGTCCTTTTCTCCTTACTCGCATACCGGTAACAGAAGATTCGGGTTGAATATATATGGTGGATCGTATGCACGAGCAGGCAACACAAAGCAGACGATCTGATTCGTCCTTTCCTCTCCCTCTCCTCCATCACCTCCCAATCAACCACTGCGACTGCAAAGCAAGCAGGCAAGCAAGCCCCGGCCGGGATCCCATAAAGCGAAATACCCGCCAAGAGAAACCGACCAGCGTTCGTGGAGCTGCTGATTCGATTGGCTTTCCTTCTTTCTTTGCTCGCTTCCTCCGCCCCATGCGCATGGCATGGCATGGCATAACGTAGCGTACTATACGAGTACGAATACTGTAAGGTATGGAAAATATGTACCGTATGCTGGTTAAACTTGGCGGCAAATGTCCAACTTATCGCTTGCAGAGCGTGGAAGTGAAAAGCCACAAGGTTTATACGGCGCTGCACTGTACTGCACTGTACGCGCGGGGAGGGAGGGAGTAAGTGTACTCGTACAAGTACTGTACTCGAGCAATGCAGCGCAGCGCGAGTCGAGTGACACCTGCTCAGGGTAGAGAGATAGGCTAGGGCTAGCCCAAGCTACAGTAAACTAGGTTTAAAGAAAAAAAAAAAAAACTACCGATCCAGTAACAGACGCTAGAAAGCGAAGATACGGTAACTATTGAAGCTTACGGATCTGACCTTGACGAACCAATTACGTGAATGCGCGGTGGATTGATGCTGTATGGTGGAAGGAATTGGATTGGACAGCTGAAAGTGAAGTTGTAGCCCGGTCGGTTGGCGAACCCTGATATTACCGACCTTTTTTCCTCACTCGAGCAAAAGTACCGTAAAGCATTGTGCTAGCTAGCTAGTACCATACCATAACTGTGCAGCACGGGCGGGGGGGGGGGGGCGGTCTAGCAGGATAAAGTGATGAAGCAAGGAAGGAAGGAAGAAAGAAAGAAAGAATGATCCCAAGAAACTGACCACTTGAATGATTCCCCCCCCGGTCACGACAGACTGACAGACGGGATGGTAGAAGTAAGAGAAAAAAGAAATCTGAATCAACAATCATACCGGTATCATACCCTTGATTTTTTCTGGTTTTCTTTTTTCTTTCCTTTCCTCCTCTTGTCTACCGTACTCTACTCAACACCCCATCTCACTCGCGTTAACATCAGCACACCGGTAATATCATACAACCCCGACACACCCGCGTGATATCATACACAAGTCTACACACACTACTGTACTGTACAACTACAACTTCCCCATCCCGCAATCCTACGCGGAACAATCCCCCCCCCCTCCGCACAGACCATTCCGCAGAGCCGCAGCAGGGATCCAGGATGTTTACTCTACAAACGGTAACAGTACCAGTACCATATTGTGAAATAAATAGTGTACGGTACCGCTATCTCAATGGCCTTTTTGTGCAGCTACCGTAGGTGATGAGTGAGGGATGGGATGATGGGATGGGACGATGGAATGAGGTGAGTTTGGGTGTTTACCGTCCAAAGGGGAGGAGGGTAGGGCAGGTGAGGTGAGGTGGGTGGGGATGAGTCAGGGGGGGGATGTTTTTGTGTTGTGTTGGAGGTGAGAAGATGCGTTTGTGCTTGGAGAGTGGAGGGCGGGTGATACTGTAGTGCTGGCTTTATTGTGCTATCGGTATACAGGAGGAAGTGTTTGTGCAATTGTAGCTTCATCTTCTCTTCTCTTCTCTCACTGCCGTACCATCTCTTACCGCAGCTAAGTCATCGTACTATCCTCGGATGTCTAAAGTATTACCGCTCTCATCTTCACCCTCATCCCCCCCCCCACCACAACCTCCATGTCAACAAACTTTGTGCGCAAACATAGCAGTAGGACACTCTATCAATCGATTCTCTCATCTCTCTCCTACTTTATACACAATCCCCCTTCCTCCCTCCCTTCCTTCCCCTTCTTCACCACCCCTTCGCCGCCCCCCCTCACCCAACCGACCAACCAACCTCTTTTGTAATAAACTTAAAAAGAAGACACCAAAAACCCCGGAAAAGATGAAAATAAAAATGAAACCACCATTTTACTCTAGCATCCTGTGCCATCCATTTGCCGAAGAAGAAAGAAAGGAGAAATGGAAAATGCAAGCAAGTGCTGAAAAGCAAAAGATAAACCAAACGCCGACATGAACGCATAACGCATGAGAAACGTAAAAAAAACAACTATGACAAGCACATAGGGAAAACAGATCATCACCTGGAATTTCCGCTGCGAGGAATGAAAAAAAAGAACCAAGGAATGAAAGAGGACAGAAAATAATAATCCCAAACACCCAATGCTCCGAAGTTAGATGATGAAAAATGGTAGTCGTAAGATAAACGATATGAGATGAAAGAACCATGCTCCTGCCTTGACCGACCCCCTAACCTTGCCGAGATAAGAATTGATGAAATAGTAAACGAAAAATGAGAAACCCCTTAGACCATTTTAAAATCGGGGAAAGAGATGACTTTTTCTGTATGAGGATTAGGAGGGTATTTACTGGTCTGCGAGCGGGTGTTGTCGTGACCATCTTGGAGGTGATGATAAGGAGGAAAAAGGGGGCAGCGAAGCATTTGTTTGCTCCGTTGCGTCTATAATAGATGGGAGGAAATGAAATAAGATGGTAGTTTTGTTTTGTTTTTTCGGAAGGGAAAAAAGGAAACCTCACTCGAATTCGAATCGCTTTCGATCATTGCAACGATTGGGTATGGACTCTGTTGGGGTGATGCTGTGATGATTTTTAATAAAAAATCACCTCTCCCAAGTATTGTTCCGTCGGACACCCATCGCGGGCAAGCGCATGCTTTCGTCAGCTGTATGTCGTCTCCTCAGAGGCTCTGGACCAACTTGGCTCCTCAGCTTTGTCATTCGATCCCATATTTCTCTCTCGCTCCGTTTGGGGAGTAATACATTGACTTCATCGAATGACCTCTTTTTGTCTAGCAACAGTGCGTCTTCACTGTCATCCCAAGGCTCCATCATTGGCTCCTCCATGATGTATCGGTTCTGGCAGGAAGGGGGCGATGGCAGCGGGCTCGTCTGGTACAGTGCCATTTGGAATGGTGCGCTTGAGGCCCAAGGCGTGGATGGTGGGAGAGAGTAAAAGGCCGAGTGAGGGCGTAGAGGGGATTCGGCCGCGATCGGGGAGTAGTGTGGCATCGTGTGGTGCATTTGCGGCGTGTTTGGGTTTGTTGATGGAGCGGGTGAGATGTTGTTGATGCTTCTCATCAGGATTTTGGGACTCCCAGAAACGGTGCCCGTGGTTGCGGTTGCCATCTCGTTGGCAAAGGACGTCGACGTTGTTGTCACGACTGGTGGACGGCGGTGGCCTTGGTAATACTTTAGAGTTCCGGATGCAAGGCGTCGCCAACGGAACTGGCAGGCATGGGATGTTCTTCCCGGGACTACACAAACAAACAAGTTAGGACTAAAGGGGTTTACTTGATTGTTTGGGTGATCGTTTGCTCACAGTGTGTGGCGATCTCCTTCCATCCGAGCCTTTGTTCCTCCTTCAATGACTTGAGCAATACATCGTCTTGTGGATCCCATGACATGGGAGTTCTTGGGGTTTTCGGCCTAGTGGGACATGCCAGTTAGTAAGTGGTAAATAGGGAGAAAAGGCAGTAAGCGTAAAACCCACTTCTTCCTGCCCAGAACGTCGTACTCGTCGGTATTGCCATTATTAACCCCAGTTCGAGGACTATCCCACCCTGGTCAGCTTCCTCTTTCTTAGGGATAGTCAAATTCGAGGATCGAAATTAGGCTAACCTCCTGGGCTTTCGCTGCTTGCTCCCGTTCATTACATCGGAGTCGACCTTCTGAACATTCAAACCATCCAGACGATCCAGATCACACATGGGGCTACCGATCTGCGACAGACTACTTCTCCGTCTTACAATCCCAAAATCATACCCAGCGTTATAACCGCTAAGGGGAGTAGTCGAAGTGGAAACAGAGCTGCTTCGTGTACCATCGGAAGCTGTGGTAGTGGGAGAGCTTGCTGCTGACCATTGGCCGGAGGTAGAGGAGTCTCCGGAACTGTCTGAGAGCAATGAAGAGATTGACGGCTTCTTGGAATTCCGAGTGCTTCGGCGTGGGGCTTGGTGTTGCTTGAGCGATGGAGGCTCGATGGGTGCTGGTGTCGAGGAAGTGGAGGAAGGATTAGATTGATTAGACGGAAAGTAGCTATCCATGGGGGGCAGTGTTGAGAGGAAATTGTCTGGAGGCACTGGTTGAGAACCTCTGGTTTGAAACTGATATGAACGAATGGGAGAAGAAAGGTTTGTAGTATTAATTGGAGGGAGGGTCCGGGTATCAGTGAAAGAGGTAGCAGTCGAAGTCGAAGGAGGCATACTGGATTCCCTTATGTTGAGTAGAACTAAATGCATAGTTAGGTTGATGAGCTTCAGCCCGTATATATAGATATATACAATATATGATGAGATGAGGGGAGGTGCGAGGTGTGGTGTGGTGTGTGGTGTGTGGTGTGGGTGAGGTGGGTAGGTAGGTATGTGAGAGGAGTGGGAGGGAAGCGGTCGTCGGAGAATTGAAAGAAAATAGGAAGACACATACCTTTATGGCTTGCGACCCACGCTCGTCTGCGATACAGCCGGTTGTTCCTTTTGGGTCACGTTCGGACCAGCAAGGTTGAGGGAGTAGACTTTGAGTTGAGAGTTTATTTTTATGATCCCGCAGAGGATGAAAACTCAATACAAAGGAGTGGCGGACACTTCAGTTTGAGTCAATTGATCGCTAGGATCGGTAGATTTCCGGGAAGATGCGAAAAACAAAGAGCTTTTGCTTGCTTGCTTCGATGGGCGATGCTACAGAAATCGGGGAACCCAGAATAGTTTCTTCTCGCAGCTACTTATTTGTTTCCGCCCGAGTGCGGCCTTTTGATGGGGGGTGGGTGGGGACGGTGATGATAGTGATGATGATGAAAGAAGAGTGATGGGGGTATTGTGCTCAAATGGGAGGAGGGGGGATTGGCAGGACTGATGGGACTGACTGATGCGCCGGCGGAGGAAGAGGGGAGGGTGGGAGAGAAGGGTGGGAGAGGCGTGGGCTTTGTTAATGGGGAGGAAGAATGGACGTGGTGGTGGTGGAGGAGAAGGGATGCTGCAGGGCTTGATGACGCTCAACGAAGGAAAGGTGCATGAAGCAGATCAAGGGCGCTGGGAGAAGACCGGATGGAAAAGAGGGGTGTGCACAGACGGTGAGGGGGAAGAGGAGAGGGGGAGAGGAGAAGAGAGGGGTGTATAGGAAGGATGTAGGTATTAGAGCAAGATGGCGAGAGGAGGTACTACCAAGTATGTATGTAGTCGGCCAGATAGAGTGAGTGTAGATTGATTGATTGATTGAAAGATTGAGTGAGGGGATATGAGGGAGAGGGAAGAGGAGGTGAGTTGATAGAAGAACGATAGTGGACAGGGAAACCCAAGGGAAATGTACCGTATAGCTACAGTGGGAATCAGTTGTATAAGCACGCCAAAGTTAAGTAGCAGGAAGCAGCGAGGCAGCATATTCTTGCCTCTGCTGCTCATGCCTCCTCCTGCTGCTGCTCCGTGTGTGGGTGAGGAGGAGAGGAGACAGATGGTAGGCGCAGTTGGTATTGGTCCGTTGCCTTCCTTCCCAATTGGAGAGGCGTCTTGCTGGACATGAATACTCGTGGGAAGGGGGAATTCTGTTTTTTCTTTTCTTTTCTTTTTCCCATTTCCCTTCCACTTGATGCAGCAAGCGATTGCGCAAAAGGAAAGGCCCGGTGCAAAGTTTGCGAAGGGGTTGATTTAGGTCGCTGATATCTGCATAGAGGGGTGGTCGACCGTCATCCATTGGAAGGGTCTGAAAGGCAACCAAACTGGAAGTGAGTGAGGTCTGCACTGGGTCATGGTTGCGTTTGAAGGCGATGAAGCGAGAGACCTGCAGAAATCTTGGTCAAGCTGGGGTGTAGGGTAATCCACTCGTCAAACTCCCACCCCCTCCCATCATTGAATGCCAATACCGGTACCTATCGTATACCACAAACACAACTGCACTCGAGCACTCGAGTACACCCAGAGTTCCCCAGTGCTTATCCAGGTGTGGAGTAGGGAAAGTACCATGTACTCCAGTACACGATTGTGCTACATGCGATGCCCTCGCCATCAAACGCATATGCTATGGTATCAATGAAGGCGGAGAAAAAAGAAAAGGATGGCTTGCTTCCGCTCCTGATGGTACAGTACTCGAGTACAGTACTAGCATGGCAAGTGAATCCTTGACGACGACAACGCTGCCTGTTGTGTGCCTGGGATTATGGTTGTTGCTCGGTCGTGATGGCGGTCCATGGTGAGGTTGGGTTGCGTGTGGTAGTGTACGAGTAAGTTACTGTACTGTACCGTGGGTTGAGGTCATTCAAGCTGCGTGTGATACGAAGCTGACCATCTGTTCTCTACGGTAGTCTACCGTACGCTAGCCCATAGCAGAGCACAGAGCATCTTTCTACTTTCTCCCGCTGTTGTCAGCCCAGCAACCATCCATCAGAGGTCTCAAACCCCGAAGGACAACTTCCTCCTCATCCTCCATCATTTATTCTCCGTGCTCCTATCAGCGAACCAATTGATCCTGTTCTGCTATGTTATCGGGTTACACTTAGTGAAATTGCTCGGCTTTTGGGGACTCTCTCATCGACATAGGGTTATCTCCCTTCTTTCTCTCTCCCGTATCATACCTACCGGTAGCATACCGGTACTCAATTGATCCCATATTAAGCACCATACTGTGCTCGAGTACGTATCGCTGGTTTCGTTTGCTTCGCTCTCAGGCAGACAGGGAAGACGGTCCGTCCGCCAGTCCTTCGTCCTCATCAAGCCATTTTTTTGTGACCTGGGAGAAAGCAAGCCCCGATTGTTTCTTTGTTTTTTTTTCGTTTTTATTCCATCTTTATTTAACCTTTTTGGTAAGGTTTTTTTCATTTTTTCTAACCCCTTATCCAAACATCATTCGTTGATTCGAGCTGCGAGAGTACGAGTACTGTACGGTACCCACTCCTCGACTCAATTTCCTACAACGCTCCGGAACGTCGACCGTTCTCTCATCGGGAATCAGAAGTGGAAAGCGAGTCACTGCTCCGCGCTTCCCTCTGCTCCCTACGGTAGGTAAATTATGGCAGCGCGGGTCACCACCGCCTTGTTGGTTGAACGAACGAGTGCCCGTGTAGGGAAAAAAATAAAATAATAAAAAAAAAGGAAATAATGAAAAAAGAAAGCTACCTGAACCAGAAACGTCAATCCACGCGTGCGCACCCCTCCTTTTCCTCAACCTCCCACCACTGAAAAATTACCTATCTTAGAGCTACCAAACCTGTCCACTAAGATATCACCCCTCGTGTGTTTTTTTTGTTTTTTTTGCTCTTCTCCACTGAACCTCCCCCTCCCTAGCTTCACGAACTTTAACCTTACCTTCTCTAACTTGACTTACAGAACCTGTCTCGCACTCTCACTCATTATGAGGGAGCCTTTTTCACAAAGAACCCCTACCCTGGCCATCCATCCCATCGGATCTGCTTCCAACGCAGTCCTATCATCGATCCCGCTCATCTCTTAGCCGACCCCCGAAAGTGGTGTTTGTTGTCACTTTCTTTTTTGATCCTCCTCTTTCGTCCCAATCCCACCCAGCCGGATGTGAACCCCACCACACCTCACGCACCCTCGCATCCGTAGACCCTCCAAAAACACGTTGTGTCGAATCCGCTTCGTTCTCGCTGAAACGAGACTATCTGGACGGCTAATCCGTGTCCTTCGCCCATTCGTCGCACTGTGGGGTAAAGGATAAAAAAAATGGTAGGGGTGGGGGGGGGTTAAGATGAACCAATTTGACCGAGAGGGCGATTAAGGAATGAGATGTGCAGGAAAGCAAGAAGAGATGCAGTGACGACCGGACTGCAGGGTGCGCTGGCATGGAATCGAAAGAGAGGAAAGTCACTTTTTTTCTTTGACCTTTTTTTCGTCTTTCCCCCTGCCTTCTCATTAGTACCGGTACAATTTTACCTAAACAAACTCTATTTTTAACTTCCTTTGCTCTATCATACTAACGGAAGAAAAAACGGCCGGGTAACCACCTTTCACACTCTTCGTCGGTCCTCCTCCCCGCCTTTCCATCAATGTCAATGTACTCTTCTGTTCGATTTTCCCCTATTTATTTTGTCCATTGTTTTGGCTTCCGAAAAGGAAAAGCTTTGACCCTCCCATGTTCCCACCAGTCTCGGGAACTACGAATTGTATGATACCCCCCTCACCCCCCCTCCCTATCATTGCCCGGGGGAGGCTCGTACATACTATCTGCACAATCATACTATAATCTTATCCTGCCTATCGACAGGTCAACGAAGCACCAGCCCCTCGTCCTTTTGCATGTGAGTGGTGTGGTCGGTCAGTCAGTGAGATCAGTTCAGTCAGCCTCTGCTTCTGCCCCTCTGTGTGCCTCCGCCAAGTAAAGTTCCCTTGAGCGTAAACAGCGCTAACCTCCACCAGATGCGCACGCATTTAGCGGGAGTCGCGCTCGTTCGCGCACCCTACTACCTGCCTGCTTGCCCAAGTTGCCTGCCTACCCTGCTCTGCCCTACCCTACAGGAGCTCACCACCACCCATCATCCATCCATCCATCACCATTATCGTCGTCGCTAAAAAGCCCGTTCTTTGCTTATTTTCGATGCTCCTTCCTTCCCACCCCCTCGGGAAAGCAAATAATATACTGGATGGGACTGCCCGTTCATCGACTTGACCCTAACTACGGTAAGTTGTCTTACAGTACTAGTACAGTGGCAACCCTGCGCCATCCCACGGGGCGGGGGGCGCAACTACTACGGCGCAATGGCAAGCAGTTATTTGAAAAAAAAATGATGTACTCGGTTATTATTATTAATTATATTATTAACGGCATTGAGGATTTCGAGGTTAGGTTAACTTTTACAGTAAGTTACCCCACAGGGAGTGGAGTAGTCAATGGCAAATTGCCCGCTCGCAGACTAGGGAGTGATGGAAGGGGGAAAAAAAGACTCGAAGATGTCGATGGTATCTGTGAAGCTAGGGAATAGAAGGCGGGGTGGGGGATGGGGATGAACGGGGGGACGGAGTGAAAGGAGGGACGGTGGGTAGGGCAAAGCAAATGAGAAGGAAACCGGAGGGCCCGAAAGGCTATCAATCAAGGGCGGAAG